TTCTCACACTTCATTTGACCAAGCAATAGAGAAGATCCTTGATAAACTAGATTTTATTGTCAAGCAAAAAGATATCCTTGGTTTTGTCACTAAAGGGCTTTCTCAAAGATCACCCGCTCCTTTGGCTGATGAATCTCGTGTCTATGGAAGGAATGATGATAAGGAGAAAATCATGAAGCTATTGCTTCCCGATAGTGGTAGTAGTAGCGAGAACAAGATATCTGTGATTCCCGTTGTGGGCATGGGTGGCATCGGCAAGACCACCCTTGCTCAGCTAGTATATGAAGATATAAGTGTGAAGAGTCAATTTGATATCAGGTCGTGGGTTACTGTTTCTGATGAATCTGAGATTTCTGTAATAGCGAAACAAATTCTTCAAGAGATTACCTCGCAAAAATGTGAAACTGAGGGCCTCTATCAACTTCAATGCAAGTTAAAGGAGTCATTGAGCGGCAAGAGGTTTCTCTTTGTTCTGGATGATGTATGGACCGAGAACTATGAGCATTGGGAGGCCTTACTGAGTTCTTTCCAGTCCGGAGCCAATGGAAGCGGGATCATTGTGACGACACGTAGTGATATCGTCGCAAAGAAGATGGGAAATGTGCCTACACATCACCTTGGGGAGGTATCTGATGATGATTGTTGGAAGTTGTTTGAGGAGCATGTGTTTATTAATGGTGCAAGGTCAGAGGCGCATCAAGAACTACATGCAATTGGCAGAGATATTGTCAAAAAGTGCAAAGGTGTTCCTTTAGCGGTTAAGTCTCTTGCTGGTCTCTTGCGCTCGGTGGTGGATCCAGAGGAATGGAGAGAGATACTCAATAGAGACATATGGGAGTTGCAGTTGCAAGAAAATCAGAGTAACAACATTTTGCCTTCTCTGTGGTTGAGCTATCATTATCTACCTTCACATCTAAAGAAATGCTTTGCTTACTGCTCGATATTCGCAAGGATTATAAAATGAATGAATATAAAAAGGAAGGAATAATACGGCTATGGATGGCAGAAGGTCTTTTGCAATCTGGAAAGAGAGGGAAAAGAATTGAGGATGTAGGGAATGAGTACTTTCAAGATCTGATATCAAGGTCGTTGTTCCAACCATTGAGTAAGGATAAACCGACCATCTTAATGCATGACCTCTCACATGATTTAGCAATATTTGTATCGGGTGAATTTTCTTGTAGGTTGGATGACGGTGACAAAGCTAAATTTTCTGGCAAGACTCGCCATGTTTCATACTCCAAAATGAAGGACTTGGAGAGTTTTGAAGGTTTACCTTTGGCTAAGAGTCTCAGCACTTTCATACAATCAGGATCACTCGATGGGACATTCTCAATTAGCATGCCACAATTGGAACGATTGCTATCTATCGGAGGATGCTTAAGAGCTCTTTGTCTATCAAATCTAGACATCATAATACTGCCAGACTCAATTGGCAATTTAAAGCATTTGCGGTATTTTGATTTATCATGGAATGATAATATCAAAGAGATACCCAATACGCTTTGTAGATTGTATAATATGCAGACTTTGCGATTATCGAAGTGCGGACAACTAACTCGGTTGCCAAAGGACATGGGAAACCTAGTCAATTTGCGCCATCTTGAAATTGAAGACGTACCACTGGAGAAGATGCCGCCTATGATGCGCAATATGAAAGACTTGCAAACACTATGCCAGTTTGTTTTGTGCAAAAGGCGTGGCTCTAGCATTAAAGAGTTAGGAGGGTTGCCTTACTTGTCCGGAGAACTTGAAATCCGTAAGCTTGAAAATGTTGAGGTCGTTGAGGATGTTTTGGAGGCTAACTTAAAGGATAAAAGGTATCTTAACAAGCTAGTCTACCTTTGGAGCTCTGATGATGCCGCTAATGAGTCAACAAGACATGGAGAAGTTCTCGATGCACTCCAACCTCACACAAATGTGAAGGAGCTTCGTATAGAGGGTTATGGAGGCGAAACATTCTCTAATTGGGTTGGTCATCGTTCATATACTAACATGGTTACTGTGCGTCTAAGCAATTGCCACCACTGTTGTTTGTTGCCACCATTTGGTCAGCTACCTTCTCTCCAAATTCTTAAAATTTATAACTGCCGCGGTGTGGAAAGAATAGGTGCTGAATTTTACGGTGATGGTTCTTCCAATACTAAACCATTTAGATCTTTAAAATTTTTAAAATTTGAAGACATGCCAGCGTGGCAAGAGTGGTCAATTCCTGAAGGCCGAGAAGATGGCGGATGCTTCCCTAGTCTTAAGCACCTTCGTATTATCAAATGTCCCAAGCTAAGTGGAAGTAGCTTACCAGACTATTTACCTTCTATTGAGCAAGTGGAAGTAGAAGATTGTCCCGAATTCTTGTTATGTAACTTTCCATCAAACTTGAAAGCACTTGCCATTAATTCTTATGAAGATGTGATGAAATTTCCAAGCTTACAGATTTCAGGGCGCTATGAAAATGTGATGAAATTTCCAGAGACATTGCTTCCGACCACTCTGACTTCTCTTTATATTGAGAACCTTGAGAATCTTCAAGTTCTGAATGGGGAGGGCTTTGAACACCTCACTTCTCTTGAAGAGTTGATGATCGAAGATTGCGAAGAGCTCCAGTGCTTTCCGGGAGAGATGCTGCCCAAATCACTCACTACTCTCTGTTTATATGAGCTTAATAAGCTTGAAGACCTTGGCAAGGGCCTACAACATCTCACCTCCCTTAAAGAGTTGAGAATTTCTTATTGCAAAAATCTCCGGTGCTTGTCAGGAACTGGGTTGCCCGCTTCTCTGACTTCTCTCTGTATCGCATACCTTCCAAGCCTTGAAGACATAGGTGATGACTTCCTTCGACACCTCATCTCCCTTGAAAAGCTGGAAATTAAGAAGTGCAATAATCTCCAGTACAACGCAGTAGAAGAGAATGGGAAGGGAGTACTTGAGCAGCTCATCTCTCTTAAAAAGCTGGTCCTTTCGAATTGTGAAAAGCTCCGGAGCTTGCTCGAAGGGCAATTGCCCACATCTCTCACTTCTCTCGAGATCCATGTTTTTCCAAGGCTTAGAGACCTGAATCGCATGGGCTTTCAACACCTCTGCTCCCTTGAAGAGTTGACGATTTTCAATTGCGAAAATCTGGAGTGCTTGCCTGACCAGGGGCTGCCGTCCACAGTTTATATCGACGGACGTCGTTTGTTAGAAAGGAACGGGCAAAGATTGGCATAAGATTTCCCACATATCATTGGATTTCCAAGCTTAGAGATTTCAGGGCGCTATGAAAATGTGATGAAATTTCCAGAGACATTGCTTCCGACCACTCTGACTTCTCTTTATATTGAGAACCTTGAGAATCTTCAAGTTCTGAATGGGGAGGGCTTTGAACACCTCACTTCTCTTGAAGAGTTGATGATCGAAGATTGCGAAGAGCTCCAGTGCTTTCCGGGAGAGATGCTGCCCAAATCACTCACTACTCTCTGTTTATATGAGCTTAATAAGCTTGAAGACCTTGGCAAGGGCCTACAACATCTCACCTCCCTTAAAGAGTTGAGAATTTCTTATTGCAAAAATCTCCGGTGCTTGTCAGGAACTGGGTTGCCCGCTTCTCTGACTTCTCTCTGTATCGCATACCTTCCAAGCCTTGAAGACATAGGTGATGACTTCCTTCGACACCTCATCTCCCTTGAAAAGCTGGAAATTAAGAAGTGCAATAATCTCCAGTACAACGCAGTGGAAGAGAATGGGAAGGGAGTACTTGAGCAGCTCATCTCTCTTAAAAAGCTGGTCCTTTCGAATTGTGAAAAGCTCCAGAGCTTGCTCGAAGGGCAATTGCCCACATCTCTCACTTCTCTCGAGATCCATGGTTTTCCAAGGCTTAGAGACCTGAATCGCATGGGCTTTCAACACCTCTGCTCCCTTGAAAAGTTGACGATTTGGAATTGCGAAAATCTGGAGTGCTTGCCTGACCAGGGGCTGCCGTCCACAGTTTATATCTACGGATGTCGTTTGTTAGAAAGGAACGGGCAAAGATTGGCATAAGATTTCCCACATATCATTGGCGTCAGCGTCGCTTAGGTTTTCTATTTTTCAGGTACTTTTCATTTCCCACTTTATTTTCAATTATTATTGCTTTCCATTTTAAGTCAACTCTTATTATTTAATTCCTTTATTTTGAATAATATTTTATTACTTTCCATCAGTGATTGGTCCTTTCTTTTGGGAATACGAGGCTCTTCCTCTGTTTTGGTTCCCTTTGTCTTTTTTGCTTCGTTTGTCATTTTCTTAATAAGATTCTTTTATTTCTCTTCCAAAAAAATAGTTGTAAAAAAATAGTTCTATTTAATTCCTTATTCTTCTTTTATCCTTTTTCTTATATATATGGAATTATAAGTTGTTACTCCAGGTTTCACTTTATAATCCTTTTTCTATTTTGTTTGCACTGAGGGGGGTGCTAGGGATTGTGAGCTGATGGTATTAGGATGGTGATTGCTGTGTATCCACTTGTTATCCACAACTTCAGGTACTTTTCAATCTTCTTAAACGAGCTGCCTTCGTTCTGTTTTTCGGGAATAATTTATGTAGGTGCTTTCTTCAATTCATACTCTGCTTCTTTTATGCCAATGTTTTAATAAGAAATTGAATAATAATTTTCAACTTCTATAAATTGAAGTTCATTGCACTTTTCTTACTGGTCTAGTTAAATTGAAGTCCTTACTCCCACAACTACATTCAAGCTTGGAACAACTTACAGCCACAATGGAAAACTTGTTTTTGCCATGCCTCAATATTTGAGTAAGGTTTTTTTTTTTTTTTTTTTTTTTAACAATATTTTTTTTTTTTTTTTTTTTTTTTTTTTTTTTTTTTCCCTCAACAATATTTGAGTAAGCTTGTTTGTTATTGTGCCTCTTCAGAAAGCATAAAATATATATAGTGAATAAACCCACAAGTTTCATCTTGTTCTATTTTCCAGACTAAACAGCTGTGATTTCTATCTAATATCATACTTTCCTATTTGAATGTTGTTTTTTCCCCTTTTATGTGAACTCAATTTTTTTTTTTTTTTTAAAAAAAAATTTTTGTTGCAAGAAATGTCCAGTTTATAATTTCAAATGAAATAACGGATTTTGAAACAGTTAACTTATGATGTGCTAATGGTCTGCTATAAAGTTCATTGCTTTTTGTTTACTGATGTAATTATGTTTTCATGTAGGTTTGGTTCCTACCTCTCACAACTATGGTTATGTTTGGAATTGCTTATGTCAACAATGGGAAGCTTGTTCTTTCATGTGAACTGCAATATAAAATCAATCAAAGCCATTAAGTTTACTGATATTCCTGCGGGGATTTGGTCAATCTTTTGGAAGAATTTGTATGGTTCTTATTCTTTTAAGGAGCATAATTGAGAAAGTGTTGCTCCTCGCCCTGGACTTTGTTCTGTAGCTGAGTCATCTTCAATTCTTCCAAGTGCTTGTTTGAGGTCTTTCAGTCGTTGGCTCACCCTTGTCGCTTTTGGCTTCCGCTCATGTTTGGATCCAATCTCATGGCAACCACTATGAAGAAGGATCTTGCCTTGACTGTTCTGGAAGAGATCTTCTGCTTCGAAGGAGAGGTTGCCTGCTGTGGAGTTGACTGAGAAGATTTTGCTGGAGGAGTCGACTTTGTCTCCACGTTCCCGGAGTGATCAGTGCAAGGCCATACAGAAGCTTAACCTATTTGAATAATTCGATGGAATTCAGGTTTGCATATATAAATCTTACTTGCTGTTTACATCACATTAATTTTCTGCAGCTTATTGGCTATGTTAATTCTGCATTAGCTAGTAACCATGTTTTTGTTTAGGAACCAACTTTGGATATGTATATCCTGCGTAGTTTTAAAAATTTAGAAATGTGGTTTTAGAGTTCTTATAGAGGCCTTTGGTGGTAGATCTGCAGAAAGACACTCTCTGCAAAAATAATAGGTAATCTGCAAAAATATTTAGAATTGTGGTTTTAGAGTTCCTACAAAAGCTCTTTCGTCATTCGTTTGGTCTGCTTGTTTTTTCAAATTTTTGTTGTAATTTGTGTTGTATCTAAGTTTTGATGGTAATAGAATTTGATCTATTCCTTTTTGTTTCTTTATGTTACATCTAACCCTATCATGCGGGTTATTTCCTTATGCATACAGCAACCGACATGGGCGTGCTATATGGAGGAAATGCGAATTCTTTCTATTCAAAGTAAGGTGATGTAACCTTCAATTGAAGAGTTTTATATTGAGATATTTTTATTTTTTATTTATTTGTTTTTTGCTGATTTATGTCTGAGCAACTACTTTTGGTCTTCGGTATAGTTCTAATCCATTGAGAAGAAATATCGCCACGAAATGGGCAAGAGGATTCTCCTAGCCACCAATCATTGAGGTATATTAATAATAATTAGAAGATAAAATTTGATAATTAGTTGCCCATGTTTATCTGGGAGTTTATTTATTTACTGGAGGAGAGACTTGTATGCTGAACATTTCCATTGTGGAACTGTATTTTTTACAAGAGATTTATTGTGTTCGAGAACTATTGATTCATTCCAGATTGCACCGCCTTGGCCGATACTCTGAGAAGGTTTGTCTACAGCCTATAGATTTTATCTTCTTCAATTGGTTTGATATTCATAATCTACAATAGGTCTACATTCATACATGCGCACATAAAGCTTTATTTATTTCTACATCATTTTAAATCTTTTTTTTTTTTTTTTTTTTTCATTTTGTTTTAGTAAGTCTTCAATGTAATTGTCATGTCTGCTGTTGTTATATTTTATTATTATTATTTTTTTGCTGCAGAGCCTTGCCAACTGTTATAACGACTGATTGAAATGCAAAGAGATGAAAGGCAATACTCAAGCTCTGCAATAAAAGCCAAGGAACTAGTGAAGCTTCATGCCAATGTAATATATAGAGATGAAAATGTTTTCAGGAATTCATTATTCTTCCTCTTTTTATGTTTTCTCTTCTCTGGTACTAATATCGAGTTCTTAATTTCATAATGGCAGACTCTAAGATTCGAACATGGAAAATTGGCTTACTACAGTTGTATGTGCTAGATGTTCGGTTTCATTCTCACGAATGAAAACATACGAGTAAGTTCATAATCAACTTTTCCTGAATTTTACCTGCCCGATTATCCCCATTGAATTTTATGTGTATGTACCAATGACATTGAGAGAGAACGTCGTTTTTTTTATTTATTTTTTTTACATTGCCTAATTTCCGCATATATATTTGTTTAGATGAACCATGTGACGTGAGCTCCAAGGTGCCAACCAACAATGGTGTTGATTTAGCACAACTCCGTTGTCTTGGCAATATCAGAGTATTTCATTCCAAGATTGATGGTTCTCTGTTCAAAAATGTCATTGGTGCTTTGAATAATTGTGTTGATTTAAATGAGATCCCTCAAAAATCTTACGCAGCTGAGGAGGTTGGCCATTCAATAATTAGGAGCAGAACATGGATATGCTTTATGCTTATTAATAGAGAGAAAAAGACGAAATCCTTGATGTGCAGAATATTTCATCACCTCCTCAATACCTTCAAAGGTTGTTTATGTATGGACGTTTGGAGAGGCTACCGCATTGGCTACAGTTGAAGTGGAGTAAGTTACAGCTTGATCCGCTCGAATCTCTTCGAGCTTTTCCCAATCTACAACAACTCGTATTCGACGACGCTTATGATGGCGAGGAGTTGTGTGTCAAAGCTGGAGGTTTCCAAATGCTCAAGGAGTTAGTACTATGCAGATTGGGCAAATTGAGACATGTGACGGTGCAAGAAGGAGCTATACCACATCTTCAAGTATTAAGGTTGCAGGACTGCAAATTATTGGAGGAAAGTTCCATTGGGGGTTGAATTTCTAGCTCACCTCAAACAACTTAGTTTTGTTGATATGGGTCATCAGCTAGTCACAAAGCTACATTCAATCACTCCAAATTCGGACCTTTCAAGGGTAAAGAACGTGCCAGGGGTTTTTATAGGTTCGCGAGATGCTGAGGGGTTGTATACATGGAAGCAATTTGACAAGAAAGAAGGTAAGAATACATTCTCTCTTATTTTTTTTTTTTTTAAATTTTCTACAGGATATTCATATTAAGCTCATCATTGTTTTTGATGTATAGTTTTTATTAGAGTTTGAGGAGATAAGTACGTAAAGGAGAAGAATAATTTTTACGTTTCAAAGATTAACCTATTTAAGTGGAGTGATATGTTTATATAGCTGTGATTATATTTGTATTTAGTCTTTTCATTTTAACCAGTTAATCAAATTACTGATTGGCAGGGTTCTGAGGGGATCGAGACTGAGAAGTTAAAAGTGCAATATTGCTGTGGACAAACAAGATTCTACTCTGAGTGCGCACGTGCGTGTGTTTTTTATTTTTTTATTTTTTTATTCGAGGCTTGTTTTTGAAAGGATTCTGATTCATAACCAATGTATGAGCCTACTGCTCAAGCTTCTTTGTGTGTTTGTTGTACTGCTTCATTTGAAGCTGTTTGTTTAGAAAATGCCCAAGTGCCGGATTCGCACGATTTTTATTTCTCTAATTACTTTATCAAACTGAAAAGAAAAAGATACATATATAGCTATATTATATTATATATATTCTAGTCAGAGCCACGTGTTTGGCACGTGTAAATTTAGTGTGTTCATGAGTGTTTTGATACATACATGTTAAATTTTAAAGGTTTTTATTTTTATTTTTATAATTTGGTATTCTCTTTAACTCTAGCAGAAATATTTAATCAAGTAACCGAAAAATAAAGTTTTAAGAAGAAAATGAAATATAAATAATTATTTGCTATTTCCACTTAAAATTAATATTAAATAAGATTTTCTAAAGTTATATTTATAATTTCTAATAACTTTTGCGAAAATATAATCAATAAAAAATTATATATGCCTCAATATGTTAATTATTGTCGTTGTAACACAAATCTTTGGGAGCTAGAAAAGCTTCCGATAAAAATTATAATGAAAAGAAATGTAGTGGGATTGGAGAAAAGTAAACAAATAACATTTAAAACTTATAAAAACAAAAGGAAATAGTATAACTTAGATGTAAAAATGAACATGCATTAACTCGAAAAAGATCATTTTAGAAAAATAAAATATATGTATATATATATATATATATAATATAAATGAGAGTTCCCTTTGTGCACTATTCTAAATTTAACTTGAAATTTTTTTTTTTCAATTATTTTTGTGAAAGGACTTAATAGTTCAGTGTTTCAGAATCTTGTGTCCAAGCTGGGAATGGTGAACACCTATTCACCAGCTTGAGGGGGAGTGTGGAAAACGCAATCTATTGATTTTGTAAATAGGATATATTAGGAAAGTTTGAAATTTATATTTTGTATACCTAGGATTAAGGTAATCAGTTAGTTTCCTGATATCCCATGAATAATGGGATAAGGTGTAATTTAGGAGATTCTACTTTTGTGTATAAAACCCTAAGAGGACCGGCTGTATAGAATTAATTCAGAGAATAAGAAATATTTTTCTTCTCCTATTTTTCCATAGTATCTGTTGGGATTACGTGGCTGCTAATTCAACTGGTGAAGTGGCACCTTGGACTTGGTCTAAGTTGGTCTACAAAGGAGGCTACAGAGGAGGCTCGGTGTACAGATCTACAGGAGATCAAGATTAGAGATAAAGGCGGTTTAGGAATATAGCTACAGAATAAGCTAGTACGTATTCCAAAAAGGTCATTATCTGAGAGTTTATCTTCTTGAAGCGAGGTTTTCTGTATAGAAACCATAGAGAGAGTGAGAGATTTCTTGAAAGTGTAAATACTTGAGAAATTTATCTCCGTGAATAAAATTCCAGTTGAGGTTTTTCCAGAATTCATCTTCTTCATTCTTATGTACAAATTGATTCTTTTGTTCTTCTTGTTCTTGAGTTCTGAGATTCAGTTCTTGGTCAGATTTCTCACAATTTGGTGTCAGAGCTTGTGGTGGAGATTCAGAATGGGACTATCAAAGTTTGAGATTGAGAAGTTCATAGGCAAAAACGATTTTGCCCTGTGGAGATTGAAGATTAGGGCATTACTCGTTCAACAAGGACTGGAGGAAGCTCTGAGTATATATATATATATATATATATATACCTATGGATATATATTTATACTATCATTAAAAATATTTCAATTTATATTGGTGTGGTTTTAATAGTTACTTAAATATTTAATCATATACACAATAGTTTCATGAGAACAGTGTTGCTTTTAATCGTAATCAATATTCAATATTTAATATTTAGTATGAATCTTGCGGAAGATATTTTCATTTTTTAATCAGTTTTCTATAATCACAAGCACATGCAGACGATAACTCATTGAGTAATAATTGGAAGTTTTAAGGAAAACCCGAGGAAAAAACACAAAGAGTTACGACCATAAGAAGCTAAACCAGAGGAAAAAAATAGCAGAGAGTGCAATTTAATTTTAGTAAAGTACACCCTTAATTTTGAAATTAGTTACCATTGAAATTCAATAGCAACTACAGCTGAGGTTCTAAATGTTCGAGGAAGGCCAGAAATATGCGAGTTCAAGAACAAGTATAGGCCAAGATCGAAGTCCAAGTTCAGGAGAAAGTGTTTTGTATGTCATAAAGAAGGTCATCTAAAGAAGGATTGCCTAGATCGTCGAAAGCAGGGTGGTGAAAAACAGAAGGACTCAAGGGATGCAGATGTAGCTTCGGATAGCTATGAGAGTTCTGAGTTGCTCTGTGTTTCAGATGAAAACACAAACCTGGAATGGGTTATGGACTTGGGGTGCTCATTTCACATGTGCCCACATAAGTCTTGGTTCCAGAATTACAGGGTAAGCAATAATGGACAGGTATTGCTCGGGAACAACAAGGCCTGTAGAGTTCTGGGTATTGGAGACATTCGACTGAGGCTGGCAGATGGGGTTGAAAGAGTCTTAACCGGTGTGAGATATGTTCCAGAGTTAAAGAGGAACTTGATCTCTCTTGGCATGATGGATTCACAAGGCTACTGCATCAAGGCTGAAGGAGGGATCTTGAAGGTTATCAAGGGATCCATGATGGTCATGAAAGGACTCCTTGATAATGGACTATATCTGCTTCAAGGAAAACGGCAATAGGAGTGGCTGCACCAGCTGAGAGGGCTGAGTATTTAAAAACTCAGCTCTGGCATCAGAGGCTGGCCCATATCAGTGAAAAAGGCTTGAAGGAGCTAGAGAAACAAGGACTTCTAGGAGGAGACAAGCTTCACGATTTGCCCTTTTGTGAACACTGCATATATGGGAAGGCAAGCCGGGTCAAGTTCTCAACAGGAGTGCATCACACGAAGGCAATTTTGGATTATGTCCATTCAGACCTTTGGGGAGCATCAAGAGTTCCATCACACTCCGGAGCTAGGTATTTTATGTCTATAATTGATGACTATTCTAGAAAACTTTAGATTTATATCCTAAAGAATAAGAATGATGCTCTAGAAAAGTTTAAGGAATGGAAAATTTTAGTAGAAAATCAAACTGGCAGGAAGCTTAAAAAATTGAGAATAGACAATGGTTTAGAGTACTGTGGGAGTGAGTTCACTCAGTTCTGTAAAGATCATGGAGTGGCAAGGCATCACACTGTTAGAAAACCCCCTCAACAGAATGGTCTTGCAGAGAGGATGAACAAGACAATTCTAGAGAGGGTTAGATGCTTACTCTCAAATACAAATCTTTCGAAGGTTTTCTGGGCAGAGGCTGTAATGACTGTAGCTTACTTGATTAACATAAGTCCCTTAGTAGCTATTGACCTTAAAACGCCAGAGGAAAAGTGGTCAGGCCATCCTCCAAATTTGGAGCACTTAAGGGTATTCGGATGTACAGCCTATGCTCACATCAATCAGGGGAAGTTGGAGCCTAGAGCACTAAGGTGCATGTTCTTGGGATATCCAGAAGGAGTAAAAGGCTACAGACTCTGGTGTGTGCAAAAGGGGCATCTAAAGGTGTTTAACAGTAGGGATGTAGTCTTTAGAGAATCAGAAATGTATTACTCTAAGGCGATAAGACTGAATCCGAACCTGTAAATGGTGACCACAGCTGGGAGTCAGAGAAATTACAATTCGAGGTGGAGGGTTCAATGCACTCAGATAGTTGGCTCAACCTTAGCAAAGAACAAGCAGAGGCTGAAGATGAACCAGCACCAGAAAATTTTGATCAACCTGAAAATGAAGACTTGGCAAGGTCAAGTAGCTCAGGTCATTTGCAGGACTACGCATTGGCTTGGGATAGACAGAGAAGACGCGTAAGGCCACCTGAAAGATTTGGCTATGCAGAGTTAATAGCCTTTGCCCTGACAGCAGCATCCGAGGTTGAAGATCTAGAGCCTAGATCCTTTCGAGAGGCAATAAATAGCAAGCATTGTAACCAGTGGAAGGATGCAATGGAAGATGAGCTAAAGTCCTTACATAAGAACCAAACTTGGAAGCTGGTACAGAGGCCGCCAAAACAAAAGCTAATTGGAAGTAAATGGGTGTTCAAGTTCAAGGAAGGCATACCTGGTGTGGAGAAACCTCGGTACAAGGCAAGACTAGTCGCCAACGGATTCTCCCAAAGAGAAGGAATAGACTACAACGAAGTATTTTCACCGGTCGTGAAATACAGTTCCATAAGAATTCTCCTGTCAATGGTTGCAAAAGGTGATTTGGAGTTGGAGCAACTAGATGTAAAGACAGCTTTCCTACATGGTGAACTTGAGGAGAGCATTTACATGGCGCAGCCGGAAGGATTCTTGGAAAAAGGTAAAGAGAATTTGGTTTGCCTCTTGAAAAAGTCCTTGTATGGACTGAAACAGTCCCCAAGGCAATGGTATAAGCGTTTTGATTCTTTTATGATTCAAAACAGTTTCAATAGGTGTGAATTTGATAGTTATTGATGAGTGAGTTTTACTCGCTCATTTGGTATCATTTTAGACTTAATATCTAGTTGGTTTCGAGGTTTTTGTTAGTTTTTATGTGTGTTTTCGTTCTTTGTTTGAAGGATAGGTGGAAGTCTATGATTTGGAAGGTTTTGGACAAATTTCGGTGGAAAAAGACAGCAATCATAGTGCTTAGGC